AATAATGGTTAATCTGGTTGGTGGTGACTGGAACATTTGTTTATTTTTCCATACATTAGGAAGAATCATCCAACTGACTTTCATATTTTTCAGAGGGGTAGCTATACCACCAACCAGCCTATGATCTATGGCGACGCCACCGCCCATGATGTTTTCCTGGATTTCCGGAAGATGATTCAATTGTCCCATTGACAGACAGGAAGAAACCACGTGGTGCCAAAGTGCACACCTGATGGACCTCGCAGAAATTGTCGGAGCAATCACTCGCATACAGTTGTTTGAAATAATAGGGAAACAATAGGTACATCAGATAAAAGGTATCAACATTTGAATGTGCGAATAAAATCCGAAGCAAAGGGCAAGAGTCACTGTTTCTCAATGGCATAGTACTCAAAACGGAAACCAAACTTGATTCAAGCTGTGTTATAGTAAGGACTTTCCCTTGTAGCCAAGAAGCTTAAACTCCATGAGAAGCCAGTTGCTGACTTGTGATTACTACCCCCTTGTAATCAAACGTGGTAATGGAACATCCTCCATGTATATCCATTGCCGTGTTTGGCACGTGATTAACAGCATTTGTTTTTATTTTATATGAAATAACGTTGTTTTTTTTACCGAGTCGGAAAAATGTGATAAACCCCAGGCAGAATGCTTTTTGAACTAATGTCAAGTTAGGATTAATAATCCCCGCGGTATTAATCAACCCCCTCTGCCCAATTTTTTGTAATTTAAAAAGAGGTGGTCCCCCAGGATTAATAAACCGTTTGGCTGGGACATGATTAATCAACCCCCTGTGCTGAAATCAATGTTATTTTTACCAACTCTATTTATCATCCAACAATTTTTATCCAACAATTCTATTTATTTCCAATTGTTTTTTTACCTTTTTTTTATCATCATTGTTATACTTAAGGTTTAAGTTGATCATTGAAAATTTCAAAAAACAACTATTCCCCAAATGATCGATTTCTAATTAAAATCTTTAAAAAAAAACATCAGTTTGGATAGCGCCCAAAGGGTACCCCCCATGAGCCCATGTCCCCCATTAATAATAACCACGGTTTGCCCCTGATTAATCAACCACCTTTCTGATCCATGAGATTTTAACAAATCCAATGGAACTCTATTAAGATCTAATTGACGTAAGCCATATCCAAAGTTTTATGGTTCAGAGTTGCTTATTATTAAGGCGTGGTCAAGAAAACTAGCCAGAAGGTCCTACTGACCTACCTGGGGGGGGGTGATTAATCCGATGTTGCCATTATTCACGTCGCTTCGCGACGGCAACCGCCCGCACCGCATCGTTGGGCAGCCGCTCGGAACTGCCAATGATGTCGGCCATTGAGACCAAAAACATCCGAAAGTACTGATTGTCGGAAAAAAAAACGCGAAGAATTTGATAGCCATGTATAGCGGACCAACGCAATTCAAAAAATAACGAAAAACATGAAAAAAACGGCGAAATTGCTGTTATTTACAGTGTTTTTGCGCGGTGAGAAGCAGAAACCACTGCAAATACCATGGTAGAAACCACTGCAAATACCATGGTTTTTGAGGGTCAGGTGGCCAAAAACATTATAATTTACAGTGTTTTTTTAACCAACGTCAAAAAACACTGGTATTTACGATGTTTTCATTCACACCGTAACATAAAACAGCGTAATTTACGAGGTTTTTGGAAGTTTTGAAGCTAGCCGTCAAGCATGCAGAAAACAGAAAAACACTGTAAAAACCACTGTTTCTGCTATCACAAAACGACGAAAATCAGTCCGAAAACGGGTCCAAAAACTCAAAAATCCGCCTCCGGGCCCTCACGACCTATCAAAAACAGGAGGTTTTGGCCGAAAAATGCCCCCCCCCCCAGGTAAACATGTAACCTTTTACGAGTGCCATCCGGAAGATCACGCCCCAGCACCTTCGGTGCGGGCGGATTTTGAACCACGTACTGACCGGGTCCCACACCCCAAAATTTGTTTAAATTCTTCATTTTCGCTGCTTCAATCATATTAAATCCGTATTGCTGGTGAATTCATATTCAATCCATCATTTGTTGCTGGTGAATTCATATTCAAATCATTTAAATCATGTTAATCCCAATTGTTTATTGGTAAATGATTAAACCCCTGAAAGAAAAGATGATTTTATTAGCAACATATTTTATTGATCATGGAAAATCCTTATTTTTATTGATCATGAATCTTTATCTATAAAGAAAAGATTATTTTTATTTATCATGAATCCCTATTTTTTACAATGGTAAATCCCAAAATTTGCCGTTTGCCGCTGCACCTCTACAGCCTCCACAGTGCAGGCCGTGGCCATCTATCCGTTGCCCACCGCGGCAGCCTTGCACCGGCACCGCGAGTGTCGATTGAGGCTGTTTTCATGGGAGTTCATCGTGATTTCATGGGATTTTCTGTGGTGTTTTGGGTGATTTGATTGTAACAAGAGGTCAGTATTCTGTGTATAGATTTAATCAAATTTTCTATGTGATTTGAGACTTTGGGTGATTTGATTGTAACAAGAGGTTTATTTATATTCTATGTATATTCCAAGAAAAAATATAGAAAAATAGAGGTATCAATGGAGATCTACTGGGATATTCTTGGGATAAAAATGGGATAATGATGGATATCAACAGGCTACGCGGCTACCCTTCTGGTCATTCGAAGAACCAAGGGTTCCCAAACTGGGTACCCCAAAATGTATGGTTTATACTAGAAAATCCGAAAATCAGATTGATGATTTGGGGGGTCCCTATTTCAGGAAACCTCCATTTGTTAATTTAATGGGATTTCATGGGGGGTGATGTGATTTTTATGATGATGAATGGGATTTAACCAACTAAAATGGAGATACCCTCTGGTAATTTAACATATAGTTATTGAAAATGACCATTTATAGTTGATTTACCCACTAAACATGGTGATTTTCCAGTTCGTTATGTAAACGTTTACCAGAGGGTAACCTGGTTGGCTCTGGAAATCTACAGTAATCATCGAACTCAATGGCCCGGCGTTGCTCAATGGGAATTCCAGGATCCTAAAATGAAGGGTACTGTACCATATAAGGCCATATTTTCTGGGGATATTCCCTGAAATTTAGGCCTTACATAGGCCTTATATATGGTAAGTACCTCCAATTTAGGATCCTGAAATGGCCATTGGTTTTGATGGTTGGGATTTTGCTGCCATGATTGACAAGCAAAAATAGAGGTATCAATGGAGATTTTTGTGGGATATACGAAACCAAAATTCATGGTTTCGTACTACCCTCTGGTAATTTAACATAGCTATTGAAAATCACCATGCTATTAATGGGAAAACTCACTATTTCTATGGCCATTTTCAATAGCTATTTTGTCATAACCAGAGGGTAATAGTTTTGATCAAATATGGCAATGGAAAATCTCCCCATTTCTAGATGGATGGTTTGATACTAATGGTTGTAATAGTGCCTAACAAAGGAACGGGATAAGAACGGGATATCAATGGAATATCATGCAATTTGCTGGGATATTGATCTATTTTAATGGATATGGCTTTTTTAGTGGGTTGTAAATGCAATAATTAATGGCATATTCATGGGATACAGGGACAAATATGGGACTTTTCTACAGGAAATCTCCATAGGTTTGATGTTCCAATCTAGAAACCTCCACCTAGTTCGAGGTGTTGCCCGCCACTTAGTTGATTACTGGAGATATGACGAATGGTTTTGTAATGTGGCTTATATGATCTGATGATGTTTGATGATGTGGCGATATATATAGTATGGCTGAACCATTAATCTGGCGATTAGTAGATTCTATTTGATGGTGAATGGAGGGAGCAAAGGAGCTATGGTGATCTAGTGTCCCTGAGAACCCTTCAGAGCTACGGATTGAGTTTCCAAAACACATGATCCGCCGGGGGATTATTTGATGTAATTTATGACACTGAGGATGTTTGGACGCAAGGAATAAATGAGTGTTTGGATTACCCTCTGACAAACTAACATAACTATGGAAAATCACCATGTTCAATGGGTAAATCCACTATAAATGGCCATTTTCAAAAGCTATTTTGTCATAACCAGAGGTTATATGCCTGCAAGGATTGCTGGAATGCCGGATGGAAAGCCGCGGAAAGCTTGAAGGATTGGCAGATGCGAGGTCGACAGCAGGGACGCCCTGGAGAAGTTGCGCGAGCTGTTTGTCGATGAGGCGCAAAAAGAACCTTAGCTTTCGTTCGCAGCCATGTTGGCGCACACATCATTCGCGGCTCTGTTCAGACACGGCGAACAAGACTTGTAATCATGGTTTCAGTTGGATCAAAAGCAAGAAGTTGCAAACTAATTGAGAGTGTAATTTCCTTGATTACAACAGGATTCTGTATCTAATTACTGGCATATCCTTGTCCGAAATCTTCGAATTGGGCCAGCAATTACAGAATGCCTCGGTCTTGAGGCAGTGTCAGCTGCATTGAAACATACTCACCTGACGATTGTTATCACTTGCTCGTACAAGGTACCGCAACAGTTTCTAGATGTTCATTTACAGAGGCTTTTTCGCCAGAACGCGCCAGGGCATTCTTCAGCGTTTGTGGAATTGATGGATCCTGAATGCCATGCTGGTATGCTGGTGGCTCCGAGTGTCATCCAAAAAATGACTTACCATCTGGTTATGACTAACATAGCGATGGAAAATCCCAACCATAAATGGAGGTTTTGATATGTTTAATGAGAACATCATCTATAAATGGGCCATGTTCCATGGCTATATTAAATAACCAGAGGGTATTTATCCTTATTTCAGGTTTGTGAAGTCATGTGAATTATGATGCTTTACCCTTGATTAATTGTGATAAGATTTGATTACAGTATAAGGGAAGCACACCTGTAACCCACCAAAATGTAATGAGAATAAGTTCTGAATTTCTCGTTTTTTCTCTTCATTTGCCTTGAAGTGATGGTGTTCAACAAGAATCCCAATGGGCTCAGCATCCCAATGGACCTGCGCTGCTCACCCATGGCAGGCTTCTGAGCTCAACCCAGGACTGACCGCAGAGACTTGTCGTGTTGTCATTGAACCACTAGGGTTCAACGGTGGTTCCCATGGTCATGGGGGTTACCCCAATAGCTGGATGGTTTATAAGGGAAAATCCTATTTAACTGGGAATGTGTTGGGGGTACCCCTATTTCAGGAAACCTTCAAACAAAACCTGGATAATCCTCCAAGAACGGCCTGGCGGTTCAACATTTTGTACATGGCACTCGGTTACAGTTTCGGTGATCGTATCATGACCTTTGTAAGTGGCGGAGGTGGTTCCTGCAGTGCTGCTGCTCCCACAGGAAGGTGTGTTCGCGGTGTCACTAGGTAATGGCAAAGGAATAGCGGAAGAGACAGATGACATACCCTCCAGGTCCAGTAGTCAAACGTGGCTAGGAAATCCCCTTTTTTAACCATTATAAACGGAGGTTATGGTGGGAAACTCATCTATAAATGGTGGGTTTTCCATTACCATGCTTGATTGCTGGAGGGTATTTCATGTGTTTGCCATCGTATAACGTCAGGCGGCGCCACTGGCAGTTTTGCAAGCCACTACCGCCATCTTACCGTTTGAACTGGAGAGCCCAGGCATCATGTAGGACTTCAGCGTGCACATCTTTATAGAGATGGACTGATGAAGGGTAGTTCAACACTTGCATATTTTGCCATCAATTTGTAGGACCAAACAGATAGAAACATGGGGGTTTCACAAAGCGTAATCCAATGGATATGTTATTTAGATTATGGTAAAATAATGTAAAATATTGGTATAATAGAATTTAATAATACACAGAGTTTAATTATATACACTAATTCCATCTAATTCCATAGAACCTTTATTTTTCTACCATCGTTTGGGTACAAAAAAAAAAACGCGAATCGCTCCAGGGCGAGTCACCCGGTGAACTCGGCTTGTTGCGATTAGTTCTCCAAGGATGGTAAGATCCTGCAAATGGTTATATTATTAACTAATAGTAGTATATAGTTATATTCTTAGCAACAGTATACTGTAACTATTATTATAATCTATTATACTATATACGACTATTAGTTATATTATCATTATTCACTAATAGTAGTATATTATCAATCATAAATAGTATATATATATATTAGTATATAGTAGAATTCGAATAGTATATTATCAACATTAACTAATAGTAGGTTATTATATGAGTGAATTGTAATATTATCAATATTAGTAAATTATAGTAGTAATTATATTATCAAGGTTAACTAATAGTAGTATATTATCAATATTAACTACTAATACTATTATATTTTATTGCCAATCGCTTTGGTAAAAGAATTTCATAGGTATGAACCTGTCCCGTTCATTGAGAGATTGGCGGTCTGCGGCCAGCTCGGTTCATCAGCCAGCTGGATCACAATAACTCAGCTACAGTGACCCCAAAGTTCACCCAGGGCATTGGGTTTAAAACCACAGAAATATGAACACTGGTGGGTCTCGGCCTGAAGTTAGGATTTTTCTATAACCTTGTGGCAAATAGGGGTATACCCAAATGTAAACCTCTGTTGGGGGATAGATTTATGATTTGTTTTGCCATATCAATCACAATAACTCATCGATGTTTCTATCTCCTAACTTGGTTAACTATGGGTTGTGGGGAATACAACTAATATTTGGTTTAGAATCGAGCAAAGATTCACCATTGGGGGCTCACCCTGCATCTATTCTTATGCTGGGGGAGCGCTTCTATCAGTTGGTATATAGAACCCACTACGTATCGACAATGGTAGATATATCTACCATAAACCCAAGCGATTGTTTGGAGTCATGTTTCCCAACTTAGTTTTTAATTGCTGAACATCACCCAACTCTTGGGCATATCTCATCTCCAGCTATTGGTTTTTGTTGCAGTGGGTTTACCGCATGTTTCCCAACATTATTCTGGAGTTGCTTGTGGACATACAATGTGGGGCCCCCGTAAACGAAATCACTAAGTTGGTGAACATAACTCCAATAACTATGGTTTATGGTAATTATAACTATAGTTAATGTTTATAAACCAATTTATAAACCAACTATACCACAACAAACAGATAATCAGGGGTTGCTATTTAAACCCCACAGCAATAGATATTGATGTATATACATAATAATATTGATAATATTGTATAATCGTATTATAACTATATATCCTACATAACCCCACAAAAATATAATATAATAACAAATGCTATTATAACTATATATATATGTATAAATGGTATTATTACTTTATATCCTGCATAATCCCACATCAAAATATAATAACAATATGTGTTTGTAACTATATTTAAATCACAATGTTTTATAACTATATATCCTACATAACCCCACACCAATATATAGTAACATATATATATATTATAGATATCTATTTTAATAATATAACAATGTTTTCATGACTGCATATCCTACATAACTCCACACCAATATACAATAATATATGGTTTTTGACTATATATCAAAAATATAACAATGTTATAACTATATATCCTACATAACCCCACGTCAATATATAATGATATGTGTTTTTCCTACTAAAAATAGAACGATGCTTTTATAACTATATATCCTACATAAGCTCACAACAATATATAATAAAATATGTGTTTTTAACTATATACATATATTTATATTGAAATATAACTATAACAATGTTTTATTACTATATATTCTACATAACCCCACAACAATATATATCAACGAATGTGTTTTAATTATTTTTAAAATTAACAATGTTTTTGCATAACTATAACCCCACAACAATATACAATAACACATGCTGTTATAAATCTATAGATATAAATATTATAACAATGCGTTTAAACTATATATCCTACATAGGCCCACACCAATATATAATACACCATGTTGTTATAACTCTACATATATAAATAAAAATATAGCACGGTTTTGAAAAACTATATATCCTACATAACCCCACACCAAAATATAATAACAAATGTTGTTATAACTCTGCATGTATATATATATACATAATTGTTTTTAAGACTATATATCCTACATAACCCCACGCCAATATATAATAACAAATGTTGTTATAACTATATATATATATTCAAATATAATAACAAGGTTTTTAAAACCATATATCGTACATAACCCCGCACCAATATATAGTTATTGGACTTCTGTCTTCCGCCAATAACCTGCCAAACGTCATCTCCGCGACCAGCGCCAGTTGCAGGAGTTGAATGCCGCCTGTCAGTCGGCCAAGATGGAACTCACGGAGTTTGACCTCTTCCCAGAGGTGTGAGCGCTGTTGGTTGATTTAAACCATGATATAGCTAATTAATAAACCATTCTGGGATGTACTACATTGGTGTTAACAATACATGAAGCTTAGTAACTGTTTTATATCAACCCCGGATGACACTAAACCATGGTTTATGAATTAGGGGGGTACTCCCCAAATAGTCATAATTTGGTACTTAAATGGTAGCCTCCCAATTAAACAGCCTAGGGGGTTATTAATCCAGGGTTGACACTATAGCCCCATCAACCATATGGGGGTTTTCTAAATTGGGGGACCCCAATAGCTGGATGGATTGTAATGGAAAATCTTATTAAAATGGATGATTTGGGGGTACTCCCCATTTCAGGAAACATCCATATGTGATTTTACATATATAATCAGAGGAAGTTTAGTTAGGAAACTTCCAACAGTTACGGACGATTGTCATGGCCAGCTTTCTCACCATCATGGCAACCACATTATCATCATCAAATAGTTGGGAAGTGAAAGAGATGGGGAACGCGTGATTTCAGGCTTGAAAACACCCTCGGGCGCAAAACCAAGTGTTTTTTTGGGTAAAGTGGCTTCCGTGGTCGCGGAAGGAGGGTCTCTGTTTCCGCGGTTTCGCGGCTCGATCGGGGAAAGTTGCCGACAAAAAGCGCACAGAACTGTAAAAACTGTCGGTGTCGGAGCAGTTTTGGAAGATTAGGTCGGCAAAATTTGCACGGCTGTAGCGAGAGCTCGATTTCCACTTGAAAATGGTAAAAAACTGTTGGTGTCGGAGCACTTTTGGAAGATTAGGTCGGCAAAATGTGCACGAGAGTGTAGGGAGAGCTCGGTTTCCACTTGAACATGTTAAACAACTGTCGGTCTCGGAGCCCTTTTGGAAGATGAGGTCGGCAAAATGTGCACGAGACTTTAGCGAGAGCTCGGTTTCACATAAGAAAGGTAAAAAAGAGGGTTTCGGACCACTTTTGGCAATTCATCCATTTCAACTCATTCATGTCAATTCATTGATTTCAATTCATTAATTTCAACTCATTCATGTCAATTCATTAATTTCAATTCGTTAATTTCAATTCATTCATTTCAAGTCGTTCATTTCAACTCATGCATTCCAAGTCGTTCATTTCAATTCATTCGTTTCAGTTCATTCATTTTAACTCCTTCGTTTCAATTCATTCATGTAAATTCCTTCAGAACGATTCATTCATTTCAATTCGTTCATGTTAAGTCATTCATTTTTGTTCATTCAATTATTCGGTCATTCATTTCAAGTCATTAATTACCATTCATTCCTTTCAATTTGTGCATTCCACTTCTTACATTCATTCAATTCATTCATTTCAACTCATTCATGTCAGTTCGTTCGATTCAATTCATTCATGTCAATTCATTTTTTTTTACGATTCATTCATTTTACTTGAACTCACTTCTTTCCAACTCACCAAGAATTCCTATAAGCAAACTGGTTCCTATAGCCATGTCCATTTTTTCGAAACTTCCGCCGCGGCCCGTGCCGGGCTTTACCTGGTGTCATACATACATACATACATACATATATATATATATGTGTGTGTACCATCAAACCAGTTAAAATTTGGTTTTAAACCCTATGAATACTTTTGTTAAAAGTATCATAGACCATAGTTCTTAGAGGTAAAAACCAACTTAGCTATCGCTTAGGGGTATACATGAAGAGACATGCTGCAAAGTTTCCATGTGAAGCAATATGGCGAGCGACGAAGGGATGATTTTTGTCCATTGAAATTGCGTCGGTGGCCTCTAACTGTGGAAGCAGTGTGGAAATGTTTCTGGAAACGAGGCTATGGCGGCACATCCGCTGCAGATGATGGGGGAGAAGCAGTTCACGTTCACCCTGGGATTCCCGAGGCTCGTGGTGCTGATGGTCTGAAGCAGCAATTCGCAAGAGAGACAGGAGCCTCGGGTGAAACCGACGGTGATCCGAGAGTAAATCGTGGACAACAGGCACAAACTCCAGGCTTGTGCTGGTGCTGGTGCTGGTGCTGCTGGTGGTGGTGGTGCTGCTGCTGCTGCTGGTGGTCGTCATCGTCGTCGTCGTCGTAGTAGTAGCGGTAGTAGCAGCAGCAGCAGCAGGAGGAGTAGTAGTAGTAGTGGTAGATGGTAGATGGTAGATGGTAGATGGTAGATGGTAGATGGTAGATAGTAGTAGTAGTAGTAGTAGCAGCAGTAGATGGTAGATGGTAGATGGTAGATGGTAGATGGTAGATGGTAGATGGTAGATGGTAGATGGTAGATGGTAGATGGTGGTAGTAGTAGTAGTAGTAGTGGTAGTGGTAGTGGTAGTGGTAGTGGTAGTGGTAGTGGTAGTGGTAGTGGTAGTAGTAGCAGTAGTAGTAGTAGCAGCAGCAGCAGTTGTCCTTGTTGTTCTTGTCGTTGTTGTCCTTGTTGTCCTTGTTGTCCTTGTTGTCCTTGTTGTCCTTGTTGTCCTTGTTGTCCTTGTTTCCCGTATTGTCCTTGTTGTCCTTGTTGTCCTTGTTGTTTTTTTGTTTTTTGTCGTTGGGGTAGGAAACTCTTATTCCCTAGCACGCTCCCCCTTGCTTTGGCCGGGGTCGGCGGATATGAGTGGTGGTTATACCTTCGTGATTATTTAGCATTGTTTATTTATTTGTTTCTTTAACTATTTATGCTTTGTTTATTTTTTCATTATATATACATATGTATTTGTATAAATATATATTACTTGGATTGTATACATAAATAGATCAGTGTGTATATATATATATACAGAAAGGGACGCTGTCAGGTCCCTATATATACATATATATGTATATCAAAATGGTTTATGTTTAAAATAAATATAATCGTACATCTAAATTTAAGTATAAATATTAATATAAACAAACAGATAAATATAGATTAAAATATAGATTTAAATTTAAATCTAGATATAAAAATAATTTACATAGATAAATTGACATATAAATCAAAGTTTCGAATATATATATATATACATATTTAAATTTGAATTTGAATATAAATAGAAAAATATAAATATGATTTTCATTTCCATAAATGTTTAAATAGATAGATAAATAAGCTGAAATAATGGAAAGTATAATTTGACACACAAATAAACATATATGTATTTATATATATATATAGTCTATTACCCACGGTTCCTGCGCGATTGCTCTTGGATGATCCGTGTCAGGGCCTGGCCGAGTTCCAGAAGCAGACGGAGGAATGCCGCCGTTCCTTGCAGATGAAGCTCCTCGGCTCGGCTTTCACGCCCTCATGGGATCTCACGTGTCTTGGGGGTGCAGTTGCAGGGTTCTTTGGCTGGGGATTTCATGGAATTTAGTTAGCTAAGTTGGCGAACATAAGTCTAAAGTGTTAGGTGGATTAGGGAGATTTTTCACGAACTAGGTTAAGTGAGCAGTCGACCAAGTTATAAGTGGCTGGAGGTTTCAAATCCAGTTTGGGGTTTCGATATCACGATTGGGTGTTATTAGGCGTTGCTTTGACATGCGACAACAATTATTATTATCATGAAATCTAATCTAGTCCATCATAACACCACCCCACTTGCAGGTGCAGTTGAGGGTACTTTTTTGAGCATGATATACCATGGGAATCACTTACAACTGGAAATGCCCTTCTAAGCGTTGGCTCAAAGAGTTGGTTTTAAATTGCCATGGGAACCTATTACATTATAATAAAATTGTTATTTACTTAGGTGGTATATTTAAATGGCTAGTGTTTTGCAAATGGGGGGACAATTGACCTATGATGATAGGATGCTGGTTGATTGATGCTTGACGCGGAATCATAAGTCCAAGAAGGGATACTACTGTAAGTCCTCAGGCTTGGGCTGTCGCCATGGGAAATAACGGTTATTTACCTTGTAGCATAGTATTCTCAGGATCTGGTGGATGGTTTGATATGTTCGTGAGCACAAAAGCATCGTAGACGAAACCAAAAAAAACAGGGCAGACAGCGCATCTCAGACAAAACTTTGAGGCTTGCTATGAGAAGGGCTCAAAGCTTCCTCCTGATGACCCAAGAAGAAAAATCAAAGGTCGCGTTGTTTTCCAAGGCAACAATGTCAGGGATGAAAACAGCGATCATGCCCTCTTTGGTGAACCAGGTTCAAGCCCCAAGTGTGGTAACATGGGCCCTTGGAGTCCATGCATATGGAAGCTTTGTGTCCCAAGCCCGGAATGCCGAGGTGAGCGATGTCAGCTCCTAGTGCTCGGACACCAGAGCTCTGGTGTCCGAGCAGCTGGTGATGCCCGGTTGAGTTGCAGGAGGAGAACCCAAACCCAGTTAGAAGTTGAGCAGGTTTTGCCAAGCAACAAGCCGAAGCTATCCAGGCGTACATTCAGGCCCTCTTGATAGCAGGGTGCCCACTTGGCTGTCGCTACCAAAAAAAACCGTCGCACGGGAAGAAAGAGTATTGGCAACCGATGCTGCCACCCAGTTTGTTAGCTACAGGTATGACGGCTATTAGACCTACTTGTCACTGGGGGGGACCGCCTTGTATATCAATAATTTGGGGAAGTTGCATAGCTGTTAAATGGCACATGGGGTTTCAACCATGTATGTATGTTCATCAATTGAATGACGACAATGATGCCAATGAAATTTGATGTAGATGACTTGGGATAATGGGTTTGTAGTTAACAAAGTACTGGCAAATGACCTATCATTGGCCAAACATGTTGGTACTCATTGAGATATATCAAGCCAATGGTGCAATAATTTGATTTTAATATTGGGCACACGGGCACGTGCTACGTAATTGTTTCTTATTTATTGGGTATACAGTGTGGGTTTTTGATATATACATTATCGACCGTTTAAATAGTGGGCATAACCAAAATGTTGAAGAACTGGGGGAATAACAAAGGTTCATTTCAACAACGGGTGCACCATCGTTAGTCGGTATTTTTCCACCTTCAGGTGAGGGTCGTTAGATTTTATGTCAGCTCTACTCCTCCTTCCTCCGCCTCGCCGGACCTCAACTGCAAGCGCTAGATCGCAGTGGTCCCTGCGGGACCTTGAGCACAAAGAATCTGCGAATGTATATCAAGTAGAATGGCAGAAAGAATGCCAGAATATATGTCAGATAGAGTGTCAGAATATATGCCAGATAGACTGTCAGAATATATGTTAGACAGAATGCCAAATAGAATGTCGGAATGTACGTTAGATAGAATGCCAGAATAAATGTCAGATAGAATGCCAGATAGAAAGTCGGAATATATGTCTGGTAGAATGCCAAATAGATTGTCAAAATAAATAGCAGATAGATTGCCAGGTAAAATGTCAGAATATATGTCCAAATATATGTCTTGAAATGCCATGGTGGGGATCACCCGAAGCAAAGTAATTGTGAATGATGTTTTTTCGGTATGATGGACATGTAAATGATGGGCTAATCGACGAAACATGGTCTGTGGTTTCATTTAACTTGTTTTTACCTTTTGGCTATCAAACATGGCAATGGAAATTGTTCTATTTGGAGATGATTTCCCCACCTATAAACCTCCATTTGTGGTGGGTGTTCCATTGCTCTGTTTGATTATCGAAGGGCATTTCCCATCGTATTTGTGCAGGCAAAACGGGGCACTGTTCAGTTGCCAACTGGGATAAATGTCCAAGGGCATCAATGGTGTTGTTTACATGAGTGGGCTGTAGTTTTCTTCCAAAATAAGAACAATATCCACAGCATCCACAGGAAACAATAGCTAGTGCCATCAAGTGCAGCTTTGCCATCAAATATAACGCCTTCCTGCAAGTTCTCCCATCTAATTCTCTGGCACCGGGATGTTTCGTCCAAGCCACTGTCTCAAAATATCACCAGCAACTCCAATGGATATCTTTAAATTTCAGTGATAATCATTAAACAATTCCCATTAAAATCATGAAGTTCTCCTGAGATCTCCATGGAAATCACCATTTCTTGTGACATCACCATCCCCCAATTATTTGAGGCCCCCCCAGTTATAAGTTGGTTTAGATTCGCCCCAGTAACTAGTTCGCTATAAGTACCATAAACCATAGTGACATTGGAGTTATGTTCACCAAGTTAGCCATCTTGGGGGCACCACATTGTATATATAATTGTAATTATATAGTTATATATATATGTATATATATATATATATGCAGTGGATGGGGTAACCTAAACCAACAAATACAACCAGGGGCCACTTCCTGGCGTGGTCATTGGTGAATTTGCAGGTCATCTCATCACGGTTTCGTTCCCAGGTCCACGATGCTGGCAGCGGGTTTCAGCTCAGTGACCTTGGACTTGTTCTTCAGAGGCAAGGCGGTTACAACGGTTGGAACATGCTGGGCGAATTGACAAAGATGGGAATAATATGGGATTTTGGTATATAGTAATAATTTCACATGAACTTAATGATAGGAATTGCCAATTTATTGGGATTTGGGTGTGATATGTGCTAGCGTTTATTATGGGATTTCCCTGTCAAATACTTTGATTTTGTTGCCGGGGAGAATGGGGATATCCCGGATAAATCATCAACAAATGGGAATCATCAATGACCTGGCTTTGCTTGTACACGGAGTACAACATAGTTTTATCCCATTGTCCCAATGGTTTATTGTCATTATGGAATCAAAATGGTCATTGAAAATGGAGCACAAATGGTTTTGATGATTCCAGTGGTTTGATTGGGCGGGATAATGACAATAAACCATTGGAATCTTGGAGTACCCATATTCGCCAACTAAAATAGGGATTCTAAGCCAGGAAGTAGGAAATTATCATAAATGATCAAAGATTCATGTGTGAAATTCTGCATTTTGCCCGGTGAAAAAAAGGGATATAACGGGATGTGTTTTGACAAGAATCTGGATAAATGATGCGACTTCACCTCGATGCCTGGACTGATCTCTTAAGAAAGGGACAATTTTTTTCGCAGCCGAACCTTCTCAGGTTGGTGAATTATTGGAACTTAACCTGTTTTGGTGTTGCATTAATAATGCGGTTGAGGGATGTTACTGGATTCTGCTGGTAATCTCAATAGGTTGATGCATCAATTTTGGTGATAGTACACTGAACTGGTAAATCCGGTTTCCGACGAAAAAAATCGGGGTAAACCCAATTGAGAAACCTCCCAATTTGTATACCACCCAAAATTTGGGATGGTTTATGTGTGGGGGTTTACCACACTATTTGATAGATTTACCTGCCAAATTTTGATAAGGGTTGGCGAATATCGGTTATTTGAATATGGAATATTGCTCATATTCACCAATCATGTATACAATGGCAACATTTGATTAAGATTTTTCAGCACATGGAAAAAATCAATACCCTCTGGCAAACTAACATAACTATGCAAAATCACGATTTGAAATGGGAAAATTCACTATAAATGGCAATTTTCAATAGTTATGTTAGTTTACCAGAGGGTAGCTCTGGCAAGACTCCTCTCAAACAAGCAGTATCTGACGGAATCCCATTAGCAAACGTACAGAAAGATCTAGAAAACCCATCGTTTCCACAGGAGGATGATCTACAAATAGGGGTGGTCCCCTGGGTTTGTTTATGAAAAAAACCGCAGGGTATGGGACCCCCAAAGAATAGACCCCCTACTAAACCAAGGTTGTTTCGTGTGAATGGATATGATATGGTTTGATTTTTCGGTTCAAATGGCTTGTTTCCCTGCACCTACAAGAATTCAACTTCTCTAGACGTGGGCTGCAGACGATGGCACCTGCAGGAGCCCACAGGACAATGTGCTGAATTTAAAAGTTATCCCATCCTGGTCATTGATAATCATTGGCTTGATCTCAGGATCAATAAATGGAAAGAATGTGGAGATAGCAGTCAAATCGCTGCAGGCTTCAACCGAACCTTACAGACTGGTTTGTCGTCATATGCTTGCAAGAGTGTGGACTCCTTTGACACCACAACAGATCGCAAGCCCTTTGGTGTACTTTGCTCGGAAAGTTGCATCCTAGTGTGTATATACGTGCAAAGTTTTGCCACAGATGTCTACGGAAATTTCCTGCTGGATCCCTTGCACGAAGAGAATTTACTTTAGGATATATATCCTTGGCTATAAGCGGGATAAGAAGGGTTGATCGACTTCTAACTAGGGTTATTATCTACTTACCAAGTGGGATGAAGTAACCCTACAAAGGCAAACCATCATGTTCTGGTTTTCATCCACCACCATGATCATACTTAGTGTCGTCAAGTTGTAACTGTTTTGAGTAACTACTGCGATAATTACATTAGCACCATGATTTTTTAATCGTTCTTTGGTATAAATAGTTGCATATGTCACAATACTATTACTATTGATTATTGTATTCATTCGTCATGGTTGCTTACTCCAATATCATTCCATCTCTTGACCATTATAGTTGTTAGATAACAGTAGTTGACCACTATTTTTATTACTATTAATGATTGCTAATAAGTCGTAGTACTTCATCTGTTTGTTAGATATTCATGAACACCCCCATATTTCTGAAGGGATAATTGGATGGTTTCCGGTAAGATGTTCCCGAAAACGCCCCATTGAAGTGATATTTACCATTGTCAACTACTAGTGTCAAATACACACATATATATATATATTACTGTTAGACTGTTAGTGGATAATATTACTATTAGTTGTATATTAGAGGTAATTATTACCTTTAATGATTACAAATGATTACAATTATTATAGTTGTTATTAGTGGTCAAATGTCAGCTGTTTGCTAGATAAGTAAGTTGTTAGACTTCTGTTTGCCAACTATTGCCGACTATCAGTGAATCATATATATATATATTTAACTGTCAGTGGGTAATATTACCATTAGTGGTATCTTAGAGGTGATTATTACTATTAGCGATCGCTCAAACTATTAGTTATTACTAGTGGTAATATTTCATCTGTTTGTTAGATAAGTTCTTAGCCTTATACTGGTTGGTGGTTTGGGACATTATTTTTCCATAATATATGGGAAGTTCATCATCCAAACTGACGAACTCATTTTTTCCAGAGGGGTAGGTAAGGTATACCACCAACCAGTTATTATCCATCATAACAAAAATCTGTTGTTAATCCATTTCAAATTGTGGTTAACCCAATGGTTAATCCGATAAATAGTGATCATCTGTTTTGTTAGCCCCATATCTAACAATAGATAAATTAGTGATAAGTTATCAGTTGTTAGCGTTAATCCATCTGTTGCTAATCCATCTGTTGCTAATCCATCTGTTGCTAATCCATCTGTTGTTAATCCATCTGTGGCTAATCCATCTGTTGTTACTCCATCTGTTGTTAGATAAGGGTTAATCCCAGTTGCCAACTTCACAACCTGCACCACCGTGTCCCAGGCACCCCGGGCGAACAGCTGCGCGCCACCTCCGTGTGGTCAGCGCACGCGCTGCGCAGCAGCGGATCGTACCTGCTCAGCTTGGCGGGGGATCAACCGCCCGAGGCGTGTCCAGGGTTGCCGGGTCGAGGCGTCAAGGCGTCATCAAAAGATATAGCGACAAGTACTTAGATGGGCCATGGAGTTAGTTAGCTAGTTAGTAAATGGATGATATTTGGGATGTAGAGGGTTCTATCCCCAGTTACTAACCAGTTAGTTAATCCCATGGCCCATCTAAGTACCCTCTGGTTCGGTCCAAATAGCTATTGAAAATGGTGATAGAAATAGTGGATTTACCCATTGAACATGGTGATTTTCCATAGTTATGTTAGTTTACCAGAGGGTAGCCACCCAAAAAAAGATGCTGAAAAGTTGAGAAAACCTGGAACATCTGTGGTAGATTTTCGATCTATACCATCCTAAAGCTGGAAATATGTGGTAGATTTTCGATCTGTAGAATCCTGGAAGCACTTTTTCTTTCCGTTTGGGGGTTGCTATCGGCTGAAAGCGCGAGTGGTTTCACTGTCGAAAGATGAAAATATCATTGAGACATGAAAGAATTTAACCACATAGAGAATTAATATGATTTGACCCTCAAACATGGTGATTGTTCACAAAAATCAGTTGGTTGTTGGGATTTAATCATCAAAAATGGTAAGGAAAGGGCGAGAGTTCGGTTTAACATTGGGACTTGGTCTTCTTGGGGAGCAGCCACTTATTTGAGCACGAGTTGACCTTCGACGGTTGATGGATTAAAAAAGTTGTTTTCAATCATGAGAAATACGGTAACTAGGTCAATCTTACATGGTTACAAACTAATCCTAGCTAGTCTTTTGGTATTAATGGGAATATCTACGTTCACCAGCAAAGAACTTATTTTTTTGCAGGGTATCTAAGATTGGCAATGGTAAAATATGTCTCTAATTGCTACATGATGGTTGGATGATGGTTGCTTGATGGTTTACCACATTTTACCACCTGAAAACGTGGGTACTAGACATATGACCAAAAAAACAGTTCTAAGTTCCAAAGGCATTGATCATCATCAATAGGATTCACTAATTACTTGGAGGTGTGTCCAACAGGGATGATTTTTGGGCAGTGACTAGTTGACATTGCTTGATTGGTTTCAACAACTACCATTGAAAAAGACATCAACAGTTATGGTATGTTATGGTCACTGGCCATGAAAACATGTTTAAACTTGGACAGTGACCATAACTCTTGATGGTTAAAAGTAACCACAATAACTCTTTATGTCAGCTAGGTATTATGTCACTGTAACCCTTGGTTCATGAAATATTCCTACAATGTGGAGCCCCCAAACGTTATAATTTGGTTTATAACCCCCATGAAGACACTAGCTATTTGCGTATCATAAACTCATAAACCATAGTGAAATTGGAGTTCTCAACCATCAACTATAGTTATAGGTATGATAAACCATAGTGAAATTGGAGGTATAAATTCACCAACTGAATGCCCAAACAACGACACTAAACCTGACAGGTGGCATCAGCTCCGTGGCTTGGATCCAGCCATGCCACTGCGGAAGACTGCGAGGAAATGCATCGAGAATTCGTCGAAATGGTGGCTTTTGGCCATGAAACATGGGAATAAAAAACAATTTACTACAAGGTGGTGCCCCCTAGATAGCTAAGTTGGTTTATAACTCCAATAACTATGGTTTATAGGTGATATATCTATAGTTAATGGGATTATAAACCAACTTACTATGGATATGTATAGCGGTGAATGGGGAATGGGACATGGGAAGTGTCATCCACGTTTCTGATGGTGAGTTAGTAAGTGGCAATGGTGCTTAAACCACCAAGCATGGCGATATCACCGCTGAATCTACTGGAAAAGAGTTTTCTAGAGCATACCAGTTGTTCTTTAGTAAGTGAGCAATATACATATGATAACTCAGTTGCAAATGCTTAAATCACGAAAAATTGCATTCACCAATGATTTCAGTCTGAAAATGGGCAGAGTATGATGATGAGTGCCCAGTATATTTAAGGAGTTTCCCCTCAATGTTCAACCCAGATGTGGAGGTTTCATGAATGGGAAAGGGAAAGTTCATAGTGAATATGAAGAATATCAACCCATATGGATTTACAACTACAGGACGGGGCCCCCAAGATAGCGTTCAGTTGCCTTACAAGTGTCTGAATTCTATGGTTTATGATAGATACAACGAACTAGTTAATGGAAGTTTTTTTAGTTGTTATGGTGTATAAACCAACAAACAAACTGGGGGGGCCCATCCTATATTGATTGTGAAAATTATCCCCGTTGAATAAACAAGAAACAAGCCGTGAAGCTGGTAGTCGCCGCGATGATCCGAGAATTCCAAGAAGATGGGAAGGCTGTTACTTGATTAAGGTCTGTATATGGTCATATCATAATTGATCCATTCGATTATGGTAATATTATATCATGATTTATATATCCATCAATTGACAATAGTTAATTGGAAATTTTGTTAATCCGATCATTTGAAAGGGGTCGTTGACGTGGAAGTTCATGGTATATGATGTGGCAATCATGTGGGAAAAACGCAAGTAAGCACGATAAATGTGGATCCAATTAGGAATATGAACGTTTTCTTCATTTCGGGTGCTTCAAAGTGAAGGATGCCCAATGTTACCGCCACATTCATTGACAAATACCGGTAAAACTACAAAAAAGCACGCGCGTACCGCGTAACCAACAATAGGGTACACTACAAGATTGTATATTATGGGTGTAAACTAATATTCCAAACCAATTTTGTGAGATAGTATATTTTTAATATGTTCTCAAACTAATTATTACTGCCAATATTCCAACCTAATATTGTGAGATGTTTAGAGGAAAGATTATTACAAACCAAGTGGTGCTGATTTGATGAGCCAGATTTGGGACAAGAAAAAATGTAGGTGTTACTAAGATTTTGAGATACCCTACAAGTAGATAGAAAATTACAGGAACATCTTTACTTAGTGGTACAAACCACAATTTCCTAGAAATGGACCGTCAAATCAATCTATTGACTATATGGGATAACATGGAAATGAACTCAGTAATCTTGCCAACTGGAAGAGGACACAATCAATTAAATGAGCTTGATTTTATGGGAAATGCTGTTTGGATTTCAGAGGGAACGTTCATCGGTTTGGAGAAACAATTGGGCATAAATGGAATAGATATAGACTTAAAAGAGGACATAAACTAAACTTGTAATTCTAAAAAACAAAAACAAAGAGGGAGATGCTGTGGGTCTTCAGTCATCGCCAAACCCCCACATTTTCCAAGAATCATCCGCATGGCTGGAGCATCCGCATGGCTGGGAAATCCCTTGCCACATGTGATTACCAGAGGTTTTTTTGGAAAATGAAGAAGACATCTCCAATAGATCTACCATGATCTACCCCAAACCTCCCACAAAAAAGGGGGTATGTATATATATATATATACATGTAGCCGTCAACAGAATTATGGAACTGATATGACAGACAAGTTAGTTAAACAGTAAAGCTACACCAAGGTTATCAAAACTCTCGAAAACAAGGATCACAGAAATACACGACTGGTTCCACCGAAACTTCAGCCAGTGCCTCCGCCTCCAGCGTGCCTCCGCCTCCGCCTCCGCCTCCGGAGGCTCTTTTGGCGCAAGGAGGCCGCGGCAAGGCACGTGGAAGAAATATCCCGCATTCTGAGCGAAGCAATTGACCAGACGCACGAGAAGGCTCCGGAGCTCTTTGTCGAAGATGCCGGAGTAGCACAGCCGGAAAAATCCATTCTATTTTTCTGCAAAAAATTGAGTGTTTGGAGCATTCTATTGCAGAATGGAACCAGTGCTTTTCCAGGCTCTCTTTATATCGATTTTATTGGGCATGTCATTTTAGATCAGCGAGAGGCCTCTCTTGGCACTGCAGCCCTCTTTACGAACTGCTGACTTGGAATTGCTGACGAATTTGGATTTCTACGAACTGCTGACTTGGAATGTGGCCATGCTACAAAAGTTACATGAGAAAGCCACCGTATTTTGTTGCTATAGAATGCTATAAAAGAAGAAACACATTAAATATTTGCGGGCCTTCACTCTAAAATACCGTATCTAAAAAGAATTCCCTGACCCCTTTTTAAAGAGGATTCACAGAAGCTGGTGCATCAGCCAGATGCTGATATCACTGATATCTTCTTGAGCCAATTGAAATCGGTTGCGAACAACATGACTGCTTGGTGGTTTGGAACATTTTGGATTTTTCCATATATTGGGAATAATCAGCCCAACTGACTTTCATATTTTTCAGAGGGGTTGGAACCACCAACCAGTTATACTTTCTCTGATTGCCAGTGTGCACATACTAGGATATACTAGGTCACCCCAAAATACCATGGGATATGGAACCACCCAAGGTGGCAATCTTTCCCTAGCAAAAACAAGGACCTTGAATGATTGTCCTTCAAAATCGCTATGTAAATCTATGTATGTTTCTGTTGTTGGCCCTTCCATTGGCTGAATTTTGACTCCTTATTGAGATCTCGAAACCCATTGCTGATATTTGGTCAGTTCTTGATATCAACCATTGCTGGTTGCTGGTTGGTTAATGATGGTTAATAGTGCTTAATAATGGTTAATGACATATCTGGTTGGTGGTTTGGAACATGAATTTTATTTTCCATAATATATGGGATAATCCTTCCCATTGACCTTCATATTTTTCAAGATGGTTAAAACCACCAACCAGATTGTATTTTTGTACCACCATGCTGATCAATGGGAAATCCAGGACCCTGAATTGGAGGTACTGCATATAAGGCCATGTTTGATGGTGATGTTCCCTGGCGTAGGCCTTAAAAACCTTACCCTCTGGTTAATTATTTAACATAGCCATGGGAAATGGCCCATTTATAGATGGTTTGCCTATGAAAAATTGTGATTTTCCCTGGCTATGTTCAATAACCAGATGGTAAATAGACCTCACAAATAGATCTGTACCTCCAGGTATGTGAAGTATCCCCCGATCTCATCGATACTCATTTTTTCATCATGTTTCATCCATGTTCCTTGGTTGTTGGGGAAGTTCCTCAAAGGCCTCTAACAGGCATAGACAGCCAACTCCCCGAAAATCCCTTCGTGG